GGCTCCCTGGGGCCCAGCATGTTCCCAAGCTGGCTGCCCCAAGTGTGGGGGGGCAGGGGGAGGTGGGTTTTACTGGCACTTCAGCGGGTTTCATGCCACAACTACTCGCAGGGAAGTTTCCCTAAAACGCTTCTGCTCCGAGCCAGCCCCCGGCCGCCCCACCCTGGACCCTGCGCGGCAGGGTGCTTGGGAGGGACGGAGGCTCCCTGGGGCCCAGCATGTTCCCAAGCTGGCTGCCCCAAGTGTGGGGGGGCAGGGGGAGGTGGGTTTTACTGGCACTTCAGCGGGTTTCATGCCACAACTACTCGCAGGGAAGTTTCCCTAAAACGCTTCTGCTCCGAGCCAGCCCCCGGCCGCCCCACCCTGGACCCTGCGCGGCAGGGTGCTTGGGAGGGACGGAGCAAAGGCCTCCCCTTGGGCTGGGGCCCGGTGCTTTCCCTCACTTCGCTGGCCCCGGCGATTGTCCTGGAGCACCGCGGATGCTGCTGCCAGGAATCAAACCCGCCGGAAAGGACAGGACAGCCCAAAGGGTGGTGAGAATCCCCTGGAGCTGCAGGCCACCCATCCCGGCTTGGGGCCGTGGCCCTGCTCAGACAAAGGCATCACTGGGAGGGGGGGCGGTTCTCGCTCCTTCCGCTGCCCAAAGCGCGCTGCCAACCACGCCACCGGTCCCGCAAACGGCTGCAGGCCAGCTCCCGGTGCCCAGGCTGCTAAGCTGCACAGCTCCACCCTAAGCACAAGGATCTTGGGCCAGCTGCTGTACTGCAGCCACCTCTGGGGCGGAACAGAGTCAGCGTGCGGCCGCCAGGCGGGCAGGAAGGGTGCGTGGGACTCAGAGTGTCATGACCCAAATGGGACTGGGCCCCAGGCCTCAGCAGTAACACCCTGACTCCTGGGACTCTCCAGACGCAACCGGACAGGTTGAACCGGTTCAGGGGCATTGTTAGCAGGATTCCAACCCTGGCCAAAGGGCAGCAGGTAGCACAGGCTGTGCCCGCACCCTGCGAGGGGCCTGGGTTCTAGTCCCACTGGAGAGGGCTGCTCTGTGGCCAGGCCGGAAGGGGGCACCCCTCGACACTCCCTGGGACCCAGCCTGGTGTCACGCTGGAGTGCCTGTCCCCCAGCGGCATTGCCAAGCAGGGCCGGTGCCTAACAAGCAGGGATGGGGGGTGGAAGAGGCCTAGAGGAGATGGTGGGGCCCCCTCATTAGAAATCGCTGATGAGGGTTTTGTGGGAAATGGCTGAGAGATCAAAGCAGCCTCGCCTGATTCAGACCCAATTAGCGCCTGTAAAACACAAAGGGAGGTCTAGTGCCAGGGCGCAGCCCGCTGCTGTGTGAAGCTAGGCCCAGGGCCCTGCGTAGGCACCGCAGATCTGGCCTTTGCCTACAGCCAGCCATTGTCTGGGAGAAAAGGGGCGAGCAGCTCTGTGCTCCAGGCCAAGGCGGGACCAAGTCCAACCACAGGGCCAGACTCGCTGCTTTTCTAGAGCATCCCTCCTGTGGCAGGGGCACCCCGCACTGCCCTGCCCAGCCAGAGCCTCCCCTCTCCACGAGCCAGCGGCAGTACAGGGGCTATGCCACTGTGAGGTAGTGGGGGTAACTTGCTGGGGCTGGGGCGACCTCTGCTGTCTGTAGCAAGACCCAGCAGGGAAGGGGGGAGTCATTATGCAAAGGTGGCTCCAAACTGGTCTGACCAGCCACCCCCCATGGGGAGAAACAAAGGAAGGGGGAAGGCTGCCCTGGCTGGGGGCAGGGCTGGAGGAGAGGTGGTTAGTTCCTGTCTGGAAAGCAGAGGAGAAGGAGCTGGGGAGGGGGCTGGGACTCCCCCATCTCAAGGGGGGGCACTGAGGCCTCTTAGCCCCAGTTCCTGTAACCAGATGACATCTGTGCTGTGCTATATCCTGGAGAAGCAATAAACTACCTCCATTCTACTGGCTGGGGGAGTCTGTTCGTGCCATTTGGGGGTGCAGGACCCAGCGCACCGTCACAGCCACATAGCAGGACAGCTCAGATTCTGGCTGGCAGATGGATGTGAGCCCCCTGAGGACAATTGATTCAAATGGCTGGGACCACTTTGCACCCAGACAGGCAGCAGCGGGGCCTGCTGAGAGGCATGACTGAGGCTGGGCCCTAGATCCAGTCTGGATTCCTGCCTCTGCACTTTGCCAGCCCAAGGCAGGGGGCAAGCAGCAGGTGAGCAGCCCCGTATTCCTCCCCAGACAGTCTCTGCCTCCCAGTTCCTTTCCCCTGAGTAGCTTCAAACCCAGCACAGGGCCTTGCAGCCTGGCCCCTGGACTGTGGGGCCAGCCCCTATGAGTGCCAGGCCTCTGCCCTTCCCTGGGGAGAGCGAGCAAGCAAAGAGGCAGCTGTGTTGGTGGTAGTGGAGGCGTGGCGTCTTGCTCCCAGGGGCAGCTGACAGGTGCAGGCCTGCTCTGGAAGAGCCTAGCTCTAGCCTTGAAGTATAACAGCAGCAAAGTCCTTGCTCAAGGGGATCGCAGCCTGCCTGTTGAAGGCCAGATCACACTGGGCTTTAATCGCCATGCAAAGGGTTTGATCCTGGCCCCATTCCCTCCATGAGGCCAACACAGATCTGATGGCACCTGGGCACCATCCCCTGTGCAGCCTGACAGGAACTATCGGAGGTGGTAAGGCGCTGTTGCCTCTTCTGAGAGCAGTCATGCCCCAGAGTCCTGCGAGCGCCCTTCCCGCTAGGGGAAAGCGCGCTGGAGCCTTCTCTAGCCCTGGGTAGCAACCAGCCGTGACAGCAGAGGATGCGGAGCGAGTCTCTGATCCTACTGGGAGGCTGCAGCAGGGGTGGTTAAAAATAAATCTGCTTTCAGCTTGCCAGCGCAGCAAAGCAGCCCTGGGCGCTGTGGAGGGCAAGGAAATATACAGCCTTGTGGGCTGCTCCGTGGTAGAGGCTCTGGCTGACCCCTTCTCCCTGCCAGCATCTTGGAAAATGTGCTAATAGTTCAGCCCGGCTGGCACTGGCCCCAGCCCAGGCTGCAGCAGGGGTGGTTAAAAATAAATCTGCTTTCAGCTTGCCAGCGCAGCAAAGCAGCCCTGGGCGCTGTGGAGGGCAAGGAAATATACAGCCTTGTGGGCTGCTCCGTGGTAGAGGCTCTGGCTGACCCCTTCTCCCTGCCAGCATCTTGGAAAATGTGCTAATAGTTCAGCCCGGCTGGCACTGGCCCCAGCCCAGCGCCAGCCAGCAAAATGGAATTTAAATCAAGGCTCCCATCTGTTCTCGAGCCTGCCTCGTATTAGGTCACAGCTCATCTTCCCCAGCAGCCCGTTAACTCTTTGACCACTGGCATTGTGCACAGGGGTGACAGCTAGGTAGGCACCAGCCCCACAAGAGAAAGTAGCTGTCTGTATGCCCCTCCCCCCCAGCAATCTGAGCGGGGAGTACAGCAGAGCCAGGTGAACAGGGCTCCTGCATTTACTCAACTTCTGGGCCCCTGCCCTCTCTGCGTTCACCTGGGACAGCGAAGGCTAATGCCTAGGCTAAGTCAGCCGTGCCACGCATGCGCTGTAGCACGTGGCTAGATGAGTTCCCATAGCCAGGAAGCTGGGTTGCTTGTGCAGCTGCACAGATAGCAGGCTTTAGAGACGTTATTTAGAGATTATTCCACATGCCGCATTGGCCACGCAAGGGGCAGGAGCTCACCCCTCTCGGTGGTGGGTGTGGAGAATCCGAGTTCACCCCCTGGCTTGTGACAACCTGCCGTTATAAATCAATGATGGAGATTCCATAACCTCCCTAGGCAATTTATTCCAGGGCTTAACCTCTCTGCCAGGTAGGAAAAACTTCCTAATGTCCGAACTCAACCCCCCTTGCACGATTTTAAGCCCACCCCTTGTAGTACCTTTTAGATATTTGAACGTTGTTACATGAGCTGCAGAGAATGTAGTCATGTCTCTTCAGCAGGGGAAGATAGGCGGAAGGACCTGTCAAGCTGGTCAGAGAGCACCACACGTCAGAGAGAGAGAGGACTTTAATATCTATTTACATCATAGGTTCCCAACCTGTAAATACAGCTGAGTCTGCCTCGCAGTGGAGGTATGTCCTTGCACTTGCCTTTCGGAACAGACCTCCTGCCGTCCAAGGGCAGCTCTAACCTAGGAGCCATGGGAGGAGAGAGAAGTTAAGGACATAACAGATGCCAAGCATTCACTGCATTGGCCCACATCTTAGTCTTTGCTACATTCTCACAGAAGGGTCATTAAAACTGATCACACTTGGTGCAGACCCCCAAGTCGTTTTCAACCCGGAAAGGCAACTTTTTCATTTAAAAATAGATTGAAGAAGGGGTGGCCCTGGATCCCCACACTGGCTGGCCTCACACACGCAAGGCGGCTTCCTCCAACTTCCGCAAACTTGGTCCCTGCAAGAGCCGCAGGGTTCACGGTGCTACAGGAGCGCCCCCTGCTGGAGGAAGCTTGCTTCAAGGGCGGCTGCATCCTCATCTCTCAAGAGGGTTACTCCTCCCGGATAAAAAGCAGGGTAGAATCAAAGAGTAGAATCCAATTGAAACCCAAAGCAGAGGGAGGTGAGGAACCGCAGGCCAGGCGGCATCATAGGGCAGATGTCCTGTTCAGTTCTAGCGTGCAGGAACGGGGAGAGGAAGCCCAGCCTTTTGGAGGAGGCCTAACTCCTCCAGAATGCCACCGACAAATAGGAATAAATAGATCCACTGCTTGCAAGGTAAGAGACACACAGATCTTAGGGCTTCATGCGAACCCCTGATCGAGCCCCAGAGACAATAAGCCTCACTAAGAGCGACATCTGCTCCGCGGAAATAACCAGACTTCAAAGGCGCTCAGGCTGGGAGTGCAGCGCCTGCCATCTCATTTCCTCCTGCAGCCGCTCATGCTGCTAATGGTTTCGTTTCTCCAGCCTCTTGCTGCCTGAGCACCATCTCTTTGATCTCCAGCTGTTTAAAAACGGCAACATGACAGCGTACGTGCAGGTTGCGAGGAAAGGAGGGCAGGCCGGCCAGCCAGCCTCCAGGAGGGACCGGAGCCCTGCAGCAGGAGCAGGATAGGGCCCGCAGCCGTTCGCAAACCACTCGCAATCCACCACAAGGAGGGTGAAGCGGGCTATGGCCCAGGCACAGGGCGTTAGCCACCGCAGCCGGCGGCACGTTTAAAAACAAATATACAGCTAAAAACAAAGACGAGGCCGCTTTCGAAGATGCCGAGACGTGAGGGCAGATCAAATTCATCCTTTTCAACGCTCCGCTGCCTGGCTCAGCGTGACCTTCAGCGAAGGTGGTTACCGCGGACAACGGAGCCCAGGCCGTTGTTTCGCTGAGCTACAGAGACAGCCACGTCCTTTTGAAGAGAGGCATCCAGGTAGAGGAGGCTAGAGCCGCCCCCCGGCCAGGATGTTTCCAACCAAGACGCCGTCCTTAAGGGCATGTTCCACATCCCTCTCCTCTATCTTCAGTGAAACCTGGAGGAGACACGAGGCCCCTTATGACACAGCCCAGCCCAACGTGAGGAGTAGCCCATGAGCACAGCCCAGGCCACCGAAACCCTCACAGGATATTACAGGGTCCACTGACGCAGGAGCAAAGACCTAGGAACGACCCATGTGGCTGGCCAATAATACCTGTTCACCTGCACGCCCCTCACGTACTGGGGCACCTGGCTTGCTACCGGAGCAAAGCACTGGTGCTTTCAGAGGCAGGCTGCAGATGGAGCGTGGCCAGCGTCAGATTCTCCAGGAATTAAAAAGGTCCCAACCACAGAGCCACTGGCACGGGGAGCCCTTCTAGTTCTGGAGCCCACTGGAAAAGTCAGGGCAGCCCTCCCCTGCTGTCCACAGCTCCTTCGGGTTCTCCTTGAGCCTGCTGGCTCCCCAGCTAACCCTGCCTTTTCCAGTGCTCTTCTCCAAGGCAGCGTGCCACAGCCACCCCCATCTCAGCTCCTTTTGGAGTCTGTGCATGAGGAGAAAGCAGTGTGGGCTGTGGGGATACCTTTGTGAGCCTGGCTTCCTTGGCCTTCTTCAGGGTCAGGATGCCCCTGGATTCCAAGAGGGTGGCAAGGGAGAGGCATTCGGACTGGGCTACTGCTGCCATCTGCTGCTGCCGGCAGACTCTGCTGTAGGCTTCGTGCAGCTGGGAGGGAGAGAGGGACCGCTCATTATCCACACGCCACTGGTGAGGGCTATGCACAGGTGCCAGCAAACCTCCAGCATCCTTCCCCTCCCTGGACCGACATCTCCAGGCCTGCGGTTCGAGCCAGTTCCCCCTCTAGAGGGAGTCAACATTGCTCGAAGCATCTGCCTGCGGAGTGGATAGAAAGCAGGCAAGACTGGCCCACTTCACCCCCCCAGCGAGGTGGGGAAGGACAGGGATTCGTGACCCCAACCTACTGCTGCTGGATTAGGGAAGCGCACAGGCAGAGAGCTCAGCTTCCGTCGCGCCATACAAGCCAACAGCTGGACTCACCTTCCCCAGGGTCACCTCCTTGGCTTTCAGCTGTCTGGCTAGCAGGAGCAGGGAGCAGACCAGGATTTTCTGTTGCAGAGGGAATTGGTCACTGGCTCCACCGCTTCCCAGGGCCATCCTGTCACCATACACCTCTGAGATCACCTGCGATATATGCAGGAGCTCCACTTTCTTAGGAACTGGGGAGACCAAGGCAGCTGTCGCGGGTGATTTACCTGTAGGCCAGACAAAGCGGAGTCAGAGGAACTGGGGGTTGATCCATATGGAAACCATATGACACAAAGGGCAGCAAACAGTGTATTGGCTACTGGCTAAAGGCAGCCAGTCTGAGCTGTCAGAACCACAGGTTTGAGTGGGATGTAGCCATCCCTCCTGCCCCACATCTCATTGGGAACCCAAATCCTACAGCCCTGGCCAGTGCGTGGGAACCAGGAAGTGAAACTGATCCATCTAGTTTCGCTGTCAGGGCAGTGCAAGGCAAAATGCCAGCGGCATAAAATGCTGCAAAGAAAAGCAGATTGTTAAGTCAGACTTTATCTTATGATAGTCTGAAGCACCAGGAGGAGAGAGGGGTATATTGTCTATACTGACGAAGACCCAAGAGCGGGGGTTGTTTTAGCCTCTAAGAACAGCACATCCTGCATGTGGCAGCCAAGAATCGAAGGACTGAAGTCCTTTGGAGAACAGGCGGAGGGACAGGCTAATGCCAATACCCCTCCCCTCCCCCCATGCACAACTTGCACTTGGAAAGGTTCCTTTGCAATTATCCTGAGCTGAACTCCGGCCCACTCCGCCCCCCTCCTCCTTTTGCAAGCTGCTATTTCGCACCTACTCTTAAGTGCTCGCATTCTAGTGGAAGCCAGCCCCAGAGACAAGAGCAGGTGTGACCTTCACATCCAGGGCTTCTGCTTCCAGAGAGCTGGAAGGAAGGCTCCTTGCGTGCCAGGCATTTGTGCAATCTCTTGGGGAGCTCCATTCCAGTAATGCGCAAAACACGCCATTGGCAAGGAAGACTACAATTAAGGTCGAGGAGACTGACAGAAAAATAAAAGCCAAGAGCGCAGAGCTTCCTGACTCAGGCTGGCGGCAGCTACTTACAGCCAGGCAGTGGTTTGAGGACAGTCTGGCTTCTCACGTCCAACTCCACAATCTCAATGGCTCGCCTAGGACACAGATTTATGCAAGTTACTTTAGACTGGGGCTTGCCAACACTTAAACATCCCAGACCTGACACCAGCGCCCTTGCCCGCTGCACCAAAACACAGCAGCTTGGAACATGAAGGGTTTGCATGCACTCAGGTCAAGTCCTTATCCCCTAGGCACATCCCACACCTGGACCCCCGACTGCCCCACTGAAGAGCAGATGCCTTGTTATTAAGGTACCATTCGACTCCATGCAGGGATGCTCCCTGTGAGCAGCAGTTTAGCTCACACAGATATGGGATTGCTGTGTCCCTCCTTCAGCTGTGATCACTTGTTAAGGCATCCCTGCCCCAAGCTGGACCCAAACTCCTGGGCAGACAGTATCACAGCCAGTATGTAATAAGCCCTGCGCCCAGGGAGCGGCGCTAAACCAGCATGAGTACAGAAGTGGTGGGATGCAAACAGCAGCACACAGCCCATTAACAGGAGCTCGTTTTCATCTCTAAACATGGCCCTAATGAGACGAAGCCCCCTAGTTGCTGCAGGGTAACTGATGGACGAGGCAGCAATCAGGAAATCATTCGATGTTAAGAAGTGGGCCATAACAGGAAGCAAGAGAAGCTTGCATGACTGGCAAAAGGTGGCGGCGTCTGGGTGCCTAGCATAGCAAGGGAAGGTCCAGATCTGGGCAGGGGGAGCAGCCGGACTTTTACAGCATTCACAAGATGTTTCCAGGGCACATTTTCCTTAAGTCCTTCCCAGCCCAACTTCCAGGGCCCAAATGGGTGGTTGGTGTCTTCCTGAATACAGCCTCCGGCCCTGCTCCTGTTACACTCCCAGCTCAGGATTGCACGTGTCCCTGTGCTAGCACAGACACCCCAGCCAGCAGGACAGTCTCTAGCATGGGCTTTACAAGCACCCGTTTCTGAAAGGGACGTACTCCAGCAAAGGAAGTGTCCCCAAAATGCAAAGTTCCGCCTGTAATGAAACTGGAGGAGGAAGACAGCCCCAGGAAAGAAGAAAGGGGAGAAAAAAAAAATTCTGAAAGAAACTGGTTCAGCTTCATAAAGAAACCTGCTTGAATGCTGCTAATGGGGCCTTCTGCAATATAAATGTAATTAACCAATCTCTAGTCACAGCAGGGAGGGCTGGCAGCAGCACTGTTGCTTCACCCTCCATAGGTAATGGACTGCGAACGTCTCAGACATTAACGTGGTCAGGAGGCAGCGCTCCCGCAGCGATTCAAGCCTTCCTTCCGAGGCCGGGGAAGCAGTGGCATAATGGAGCCTTAAGTCACGCTCGCTTCAATGACATCGGGTAAGAAGCCTGCCTCAGGAGGCGACGGGGCGAGGCCGCAGCATTTACCTGCATACGTCCAGGGCCTTGCGAGCGTCTCCCGAAACGGCAGAGACTTTCCGTGCACAGAACTGGATAGCAGTGCTGTCCAGGAGCTGGCTGCCAGACACCTGCCGAGGAAACGGAGCACAGGGCAGTTATGGGCAGGTCTCCGCTGCAGAAGCCTCAGATGGTTCAGAGAGAAAATAGCCCATCTGGATGCATGTGGGTTGTCTCACACCCCACTGTAGCTGAGAAGTTCTCCCACCTGTCTTGGGAAGGCAAAGCACATAACTGAGAATGGTGCAGTGTGTTCTCACCTCCACCCCCTAGAGTCTGTCTGGGAGGATACAGGGATGCCACTGAAAATGGGATTCTCAACAGCCTGGACTTTGCTCCCTCCCAAGGCCATGGGGTGGCCACAACAGGGCAGGAGCCAGGGCCGCTGGCTGACCTGCTTGTGGAAAGTCACCAGCAGTTCCTTCTGCCACCAGCTCAGTGGGGCGTGGCAGACAGAGCAGAGCCATCTTGCCCATGGCAGAAAAGCGCTGTGCAGCAGTGAATAAGCAATATCAGCCTGCTGCAACTATCAAGTTTCTTCAAGACAGCCCGAGAAAGAAGCTCGCGCGGTTCCAGATCTCAGCTGTCTGGCTCACAGAGACCTTGGACTCGGCCCCTGGCTTCTCACCTGCTTCAGCCGCTCTTGCAGGATGGCAGCAATCTGCTCCTTTGTGTACGGCGGGAAGTTTAGCAGCTGGGGTTTGCACTTGGGTCGGGCCTGTAGCCTGGCCAGGATCCGATCTGTGAGGTCCAGGGCGTTGGCCACTCCTGCAAAGCACATTGAGGCTGAAAATGGCAGACGGGGCTAACCGGGAAGCAGGGGAGGGATCTTCCAAAGCCCAGGTCAGAGCATCATGTGCAAGGCTCCGCTGCAGGGTGAGGGGGCAGCGCATCCATCATGCAACCTGGCGTAAGCAAGGGCAGTTCTTAAGGCACCCAGCAGGTGACAGGTGCACTGCAGTAACTGGGCTGATTTCTGTGGGCAGAAGCCAGCTTTACATAAGAACGGCCGTACTGGGTCAGACCAAAGGTCCATCTAGCCCAGTATCCTGTCTGCCGACAGTGGCCAGCACCAGGTGCCCCAGAGAGGGTGGACCGAAGACAATGATCAAGCGATTTGTCTCCTGCCATCCCTCTCCAGCCTCTGACAAACAGAGGCCAAGGACACCATTTTATCCCCTGGCTAGTAGCCTTTTATGGACCTAACCTCCATGAAATTATCTAGTTTCTCTTTAAACTCTGTTGTAGTCCTAGCCTTCACCGCCTCCTCTGGCAAGGAGTTCCACAGGTTGACTACACGCTGTGTGAAGAACTTTCTTTTATTAGTTTTAAACCTGCTACCCATTAACTTCATTTGGTGTCCTCTAGTTCTTCTATTATGGGAACTAATAAATAACTTTTCTTTATCGGCCCTCTCCACGCCACTCATGATTTTATAGACCTCTATCATATCCCCCCTCAGTCTCCTCTTTTCTAAACTGAAAAGTCCCAGTCGCTTTAACCTCTCCTCGTATGGGACCCATTCCAAACCCCTAATCATTTTAGTTGCCCTTTTCTGAACCCTTTCCAAGGCCAAAATATCTTTTTAGAGGTGAGGAGACCACATCTGCACACAGCTTTAGAATCATCCCCTGCTTTCTCCAAGAGGAAAACGCCAGGGCACCCCGAGGGAGGGCGGATCTATGCCACCCACTCATAGAGCTCCCCTGGAGCTACAGCAGCCACAGGGCATTTCAGCAGCTCCAGGCCAAAGCGTGGTCCCTACATCGAGACTCACCGATGAGGATAAGCCTGGAGCCAGCGAGCCAGGGCCACTCAAACACGGTGTAGAGCACATCCTGTCCTTTGCTGTCCAGCTGGTCCATCTCATCCAGCATCAGCACGCTACGTAAAGGCAGGAAAAAGGGCCCCGCTCAGTACTCCGCCTTTGCCCTGCAGCCGGCATGGCAGGGCTCTCCCCTGTCTGTGCCAGTATCTAGCAGAGGTGGGTCTCACCCCTTCCCGACACAGCCTGTGCTTAGTAACGGCATCAGGGCCTGCTTTTCCCAAGGTGCCAAGCAACTACAGCGCACCCAGATTTTCACTGCAGCTGGGGGGGCTCTGTACCTCTGGAAAAATCAAGCCTTCAGCACCTGGGTGGGAAGAGGCACAGACTAGCTCCCCCTTCTGGCCGTTAACGGGCTGCAATTACTAGGAGATTCCTGGCTGGAAACACAGCTACTCCCTGGGCCCAGCCTCTGCCCCGAAGCACCGAGCAACTCAACGCCTGGGGAGAATTTCAGTGCCCCCGGCACACAGGGCAGGTACTCACGTCATGGGGGTCTCCTCAGCCGTCAGCTGCTTCTCCAGCTTCCTCACCAAGTCTCTCCCGGCTACCTTGGATGACCCCTGCTGGCCCAACTGCTCCGCTATGGCTGGGAATACGGCCTGAGAGCTGCTGAGGGACATGCAGTTCAGGACGATGGTTTTACTGCCAGGGAGATCATTCTGACACAGGAAAAGACAGGGAGAGTTAGAGCCAGCGAGCCACAGCTCAGATCCCACCGCACCCCCTCTCCTGCACCAGAGCAAGGCTCGGGTGAGCTACGCAGATCAGCGCTCTGGAGCACAGGACAATGCAACACAGCTGATCCAGGCTTTGCTAGGCTGTCCAGAGCGGAGACTGGCCTAGCAGCCATCTCCCTTTCCCAGTGTACCAGTCCCCCCTACTGAACCCCTGCATTAGTTCAGCAAATTCATACCTCCCTCCTTCACTTGCAAGGTGTCGCATCTGTCTCTTTTCTGCTCTCCCTTATGTCCCTTAGCCTCAGGCCTAGGCTACACCTAAACCTCAGGCTACGCACACACCAGAACTTACACTCGTACAGGTCACGTCACTCAGGGGTGTGAGCCACCAACCCCTCCCCCACAGCAACGTAAGTCACACTGACCCAAACGCCAGTGAGGGCAGCACTAGGTCGACGAGAGAGCCTCTCTCACCAAAATAGCTACCGTGGCTCTCAAGGGTGGACGCCAGTGAGGGCAGCACTAGGTCGACGAGAGAGCCTCTCTCACCAACACAGCTATTGTGGCTCTCAAGGGTGTGAGTAATTAAGATGACAAGAGAGCTCTCCCCATTAGCTGAGAGCATTTCCACTAGCACTGCTTTAAGCTCTAGTGCAACCACAGCTTCAGTTCAAGCTAGCCACACTCTGGTAGGAGAAATTCAAGACAGCACCAAGCAGTCTGTGTAACAGTCCTAGGTCAAGGGAAAAATTCTTCCCTCAACCTTGCCACTGCCTCTCGGAGATGTGAATGGACAAAAGCTTTCCACTGCTGTAGGAAAAGTCTATGCACAGCTGACGCGTATCTAGTGCAGACATTCTCCTACTCTGATTCTCACAATGGCATCTTCCCCTCCTCTTGAGGAAATGCTCTCAAACCCCGTTCTTCACATGCTTCTAGACTCCCCACCAGGCGCCCTCCCATTATTCCCCCTCCACAGGCACTGCACAGAACAGCCTGAACCTGACGAACCACCACAGGACAGGGAGCAGAATGAGCGTTCACAGATTGTTCTGCACCTACGTGGAGCTAGACTATGCTCAAACTGCAGTGCAGTAATCAGAGGTGCTAATGCTGAGCGGAGATGGCAGATTAAACCAAACATGAAGTGTTAAGGCCAAAGTGTTTGTGATGAGCCAGAAAAGCAGAGGGGCTAAGAAGCAAGGTCACCCCAGGATTTTCTCTCTTCCTTGCATACTCCAAGCCACCTCAAGCTTCCCAGGAAAATCCATCACACATAGCATCACCCAAGAAAGATTTCAGGGGGATCAGATGTTGTCAAAGGCAGGGGGTACACTGGGCTTATAGCAGGAAGGCATGTCCCTGCTGTAGCTAGAGCAGAGACGTTGGCATCCGGGACAGAGCATGTGAGACAGGCACCTGAACCTCCAAGCACAGCCATACCTGGAGGTCCTGCAGGATTCTGCTCAGACAAGCAGTTTTTCCAGTGCCCGGAGCACCAGAGACGTAAAGACTGCCAGGTTTCTCCTGACAGACGTGCTTTTTCAGGAACTGCCGGATGATGTCCGCCTCCTTCTCCCGGGCAAGAAGCTGGTCGGGGACAGCCGTGTGCAGAACGCTCTTTGCCTGCTGGTAACAAGTGCCTATACCAGAGGGAGAGGTATCAGAGGAAGGCTGCAGAGCTGCCTTGGGGTCCTGTTCATCTCCACACATTGCATCAATACCTACCTTCCTGCTTGAACAGCTGCATGCACCCAGTTTTCTTGCTGAGACGAGAACACTCGGAACTTCTTGGGGTTTCCTGCCACTTGTGGAGTGGGAACGGCACCACATCGTTCCTCTTGCCCGGAGACCCTGCAGCTGGCCGCTCGCTGAAGAACAAGCACCGCCCCCTGCGAGAGGCAGACGGGAGCTCGTTCTCCTTCTTGCTCTGTTTCGTCGGGGAGCAGGGCAGTGACTGTGGAACGTTGCACAGGTTGTCACCACCTGCAGAAGAGAGAAGCGCCTATTTCAATGGGCACCAGTGGCCAGATGAATGGTTGGAGGAAGGAATGGCCACCGGATGCCTTGCCAAGGGACCAACTATCTATTCCAGAGTCAGGGTACACTTTGGAAGCCAGGTTAGGATGTCAACCCCAAAGAAGAATTTTAGAATGGCACCCAGGGATGCTAAGCACAACTAATGGGCCAAAGGGGAAATTTAGGCCCAATATTAGCAAAATCTCCCTGTAACAGACCTATCCACCCGTGGGCCAGCCTCCCTGGGGGAGCAGTTTCATCTGTTGGTTGGGGTCCTTCATACTAGACTAAGCAAGACAATAAAACAATCCTGCACTGACCTCAGGAAGGGGGAACCTCCCATAGTGTTCAGAGCTCAACAGAAGCCTGCTGGCTCTAACGGAGGTGTTAACTCTTTCATTGCAATC